TTTTTCGGTAAAAGCTGGAACTAATCTGAATACTGTTTTGAATAGCCCGAAGATTTTTCTATCGGATGAGGTGCATATCGCCCTTTCATGAGAAAAGTTGATAATAGGGTTTCTCGAAAACCTGACCGCTAGAAAACCAAGTCCTTGATTTTTGGTCAAAAAATTTTGCAAGCCGTATAGTCTGATAGAGCAAAGAATTTTGAGGAAAACAAGACATCTCGAAGCTGTCTATAAGGCTTTTTCAAGCAACTGCAGTCGATTTACGAATGGCTACAAAGGGAGTGAAAATTACCAAAAATTCCTGTGACAAAGCCTTATTTTCCAGCTTTTACCGAAAAATAAAAAACAAAGGAGTTCTTGTGATTATGACACACTGTACTGCATAGATAACACCCAAACCCTTCTCTTCGATATCATTAATGACTGGCCCCATCTGTCTGGATATTCTGACCAACTCACTTTGTAGAGAATCTAAAGGGCTATCCAATGGTATGCTTTTGAAAAATATATAATTCTTTATTACGGCAGGAAAATGACTAAAGATGTGCTTAACGCATTAAGATAGTTGAAAATCATGACATAACCTATATGGGAATATTTTTGAAAGACTTATTTATAGCTCATTTTGAAGCCCGAAAAATTCTTTATCTTTCTATATATAAAACATTTCGGTTCTGAGTAGATGAGTTCAAGAAACATTCCTTTAAAGTGCTAAGATAGGTGAAAATGATGAATATCTGTCTAGTATTTTGACAATTTTCCTGTATGGGCATAATTTTGAAAACCTCGTCTATAGCTTATTTTGAAGTCCAGAAAATTCTGTGTGTTACTATGTATGAGCTTTGCTAAAGAGCTTTGAAATCGGACAAAAAATTTGCGGAAAAAGGTAAATGGCTTTTGTTGAACTGGTGGCTTAAAATGAAAAGTAATTTTTGTTTGAAAGTGGGAAGTGTTGGGAAGTGAAAAGGGAAGCATTTTCGATCATTTTCACTCAAAATCATATTGCGCCATTTTCTAGCAGAAACCGTTCCCCGTCCTTTGATCAACCTTTTCAAAAAAAGATACAACACAACGTATTGGAAGTTAACTTGCTACATCAAATTAAAGTTGTTGCGGATTTTTCTCTTGTAATCCAGCTAGTTCAATGATTTTGACAAGTCTAAAACTCGGCCCCTAGTAAGCCATCATGTAAACGCTAGATTTCTTCGACCGATCACGTACGAAAAACATTAATCAATCGATCAATATCACTCTTCACTCTATCATACAGTGCTGTAACCGAGACTACGGATCTTGTAATGGAACAAAATCGGATAATGGTAAGACTTTTATTTTCTTTTTTTCAAAACAGAAGCATGCATGCCGTTTTACTTGTGGACGACATCGTTTGCTTATATGAACTGACTAACTCATATGCACTATCCAAATATTCGAAGTTTAGAGAACATTTTCTTTTCTTTTTAATCTTTTGCTGCTTTCTTATCAGTCATATTTTTATTTTCATGAGTGTAGACGTACTGCATAGTTAAAAGTATATTACACACTTTTGGCTTTTCACGTTATATGAAATTTTAATCTACTAAAATGACGCATAATAATAATCATTTTCCATCACATGTTTTTTGATGTTAATAAAATCGTGAGTACCGTTGTAAAAAAGTTTATTATCAAATGTTACATTCACAATGATTCACAAAGTATGACCATTAAACATTTAATCATTGTAACGCGATTCATTACTAATGGTAAGACTTTTATTTTCTTTTTTTCAAAACAGAAGCATGCCGTTTTACTTGTGTAAGTTTTTCGTGGAACAGTACGCAATTTATACAGCATAAGATTGATTCTTTTCGTCTTTCTTGCATCTTTGTCGCGTGGCTAAGTTGGTTTCTTTTCTTACTAGTCTATTATTATCAAGGCTGCATATTTTCAAAGGAACGAAGTGGTCTTAAAATAATTTCTATGAATTTACGTAGTCTGGTAAAGCAAAGGGACGAAGTTTGATCATACATGGCTATTTCTCAGCCAGCCATACTGGGCATAGTTGAAAGCTTTTTAGATGGTACAATTACTGATTATATAATAAATATTACTAATTATAATGATGCACTGCGTATATTCCTCGTACGAGGCACGGTAGAGGATGCACTTTTTATACTTGTAAGATTCACACATCATTAAATTAAATGAGTTTGAGAATGTAGCTTTCGAAATTACATGTATTCGATGGATTGAGTCTCCTATATCCAAGATTATTTTTGTTTATGCGACAGACCTGAAGCTCCTATAGAACCCTTTCTGGACTATATAGATGAGATTTTAGTAAAAATAACACATTCAAAGTATAAGAAAGATGATATAGTTTTTACAGGTGACTTGAATGCCCCTCATCACGAATGGTGTAAAGAGAAATCATCTACAAGGGAGGGGATTCTGTTACATACTTTTCTTAACTCTCATAATTTGTATCAAATGGTGCCTGGTGCAGCACGATCCAGTTCTCGCACATGTTTAGATTTAGTTGTTTCAGGTAATATTCACCTCGTCAGCACAGTTTCTATTTTACCAGCGGTAGCTGCAACTGACGAGAATATGTTAGGGTATCACTTGCTTACTCAACATCAATATCCAAAAAAGACGGTATACAACTTTAAACTTGCGAATTGGAATTTGTTAAACCATACTTGTGATTATATACCCTTTGCTTCTATCCTGCGATCACATAACAGCATAACCACCGGGGTCACAAAATTTGAAGAAATAATACGTGAACAAGTTGATAAAATAATTCTGCATAACTCCTTAACTGTAAAACTGCGGGACAAAGTGGGGTGTAGTAAAGAGTTACGCATCCTGCGTAATAAAAAATGTAAATTATTTCGAAGGAGAGAACGATCAGATGCAGCGATGCAAAGCTAAAGGATCACTGCTAAAAATTTTCAAATTGCTGGCAAAAATGCTAAACGAATTTTCTTTCGAACTTAAACTCACGTATTGCTGCACCGTATCTAATACCTCCTGCTTCTCCTTCAGTCATCTTTTCATTTTGTTTTATTGTCTGGTTATTGATTCTTTTTTGTATCTGTTTTTGTACTATATCTCGTTTTCTCTATCTTTTCTGACAAATATGCTTATAATGAGTATCACGTTCGATAGTGTGTATGCCTTTTCTCTTCAACAAATAAAGTTTAAAACAACTAAATTCACTGTTGTGTGCCTATATTCTGTACAACGATTGAAGTTGTGCCATCAACACGATGTTTCCAGTGTTCATTTTTTTGGTTTGCTTTTTGTGTTTTGTTTTTGATATGAGCTGACATTTGAGTTTGGGATTTATTTTGTTGTTCAGAAATGGTACCTAAAAATAGGGAAGCTTACTTTTTGCTTAACATTCCTTTTTCACCATCCGTCTATGCCTCCAACTATGCACTTGGAAATTGTTTTAAATATATATTTGTACCCGACTCAACTTGTCGAATGCGAATATGAGTAAAGCGTTTGTTTTCGATTACAGTTTGATGAGAAAAGGGGTGCCTCAAAAGTTCCAATTTGGCTAAACAGGCCATCCTTGAGAAACACCGGAAACCATGATACCAATAGTTTTTTGGAATTTACTTGCACAAATAGTAATATCTGGTTAATTGGCTGGGATTTTGAAATTTTTCCTGGACTATGCACATATTACCCATTGGAGTCAAGGCGCCTGTTTACGCGCATATTTGACTGATCAATGATGCTAGCGACCAACTAGGCAAAATTAGCTTTTGTTTTAATAAATTAACAGACCATATCGAACACCCCGAATGTAAACGTGGTAAACTTCCCACGGAACGCCCCTCAGGTTTTCTAGAGATGAAAAGCTATTTTAATGAAAAATCAAGACTTCAGTTTAGCGTGAGTTTCTAATTTCGTTATTTTGGATTAAAACCAGTTGAATGGGTGTTAAAAACTCGTGTAGATTGCAGGCAAAATACCACACAATACAAGCTGTTTGCTGAAGTTTGTGTAGGAAGAAAACTGCAGCAACGTGTACAGGGTGTTCCAAATATCTCATCAGAAATAAAACGTGAATATCTTCGCCATTTGTTAACTAAACTTCCAAGGTTAGTTTTTTGTTGGATAGAGGAATGTTCCAAGTTCTATGTGATACGATTGGAACTTTTTGTGTAAAAACACGTCAGTGTGGAAAGATAGTAAAACTTGCAACGGATGTGTTCTGTATACGTTGTTATAATAGTGAGTAAAGACTATGGAGCTTGTCGTAATTGAACGAAATCTTTGCCAGAGTCGTACTACATCTCATTTTGTAGAACTTGGATTGCTCTACAATCTCACATATTTAAATGTTTTGTTCAACTTGAAGTTTAGCCAAAAGCAAATAATTTCTCTATACAGTACCTATTAACGTGACCTACGGATTCTGGCTTCTACAATAGCCTCATACATATTTTTACAGACTTTCAAACTATTCCACTTTGTAGAACTACCTTCTTTGTATGAAATTCCACTAGTAGTTTTTCCTGTGATTAGTTAATTTTATCTGAAAAGAATTTGTATTACATTTTTGTACTTTCCCAGATACTAGTGCAAAACAACTATGGCTAAAGCTAATCCACAACATCCAGTCATTTTTGAACAAAAGTATATAATTATTTTGTTATGTGACAGCAGACATCGTCTACTTTAGTTTATTGTAAAGAATCATTTCTGTTTCATTCAGAAATTTTTGCAGTACATATAGTTTATTAACAAAGAGTTTCAAAAAATCTGAGTTTCACCATAATAAACCCAAACATTTTTTCAAGCAGCAACAAAAAGTTCCAATGATATCAAATAAAACTTGGAACATTCTTCTATCCAACAAAAAAATAACCTTGAACTTTAGTTAACAAATGGCGAAGATATTCATTTTTTTGTTTCCGATGAGATATTTGGAACATCCTGTATTTTAGGTTTTAATTCTATCTTAATTAAAATTTTCGTCGTTAGATAAAACCAAAAATCCATTTTGAAGATCAAGATGAGTGCTACATTTTGACTTACTAGGAATTTCGTTTTAGTGTACAATAGTTCCTGTAATATGCATGAACTTTCTAATGCCGAATTCATGATTTTCAAGATGGAAACATTTTCTTTGAAAAAGTCCACGTAACTCTTCCTCAACAAAAAACAAAATGTTTGATGCAAGCTTTTCGCTGAAACGATTTGAAAAATTTCGATTTTCGATAGATGTTCAGTAAGGTGCCGGCAATTCAAAACTTGAACGCAACTCATTTTTGCGATATTTATACACAGTTGGATAGAGCTCGTCGAATTGAGTCCGAATATGTGTGTTTTAACGTTTGAAAGAAATCTTTTGAGGTTGAAAATTTAAAAGAACTAAGTTGTAAAATCCATAAAAAACAGCCTAATTGTAAAAAAAAATCAAAATCTGTGCATAGCTTTTAGATAATTTTAAAAATATTTTATTTGTAAAATAAAATATTTGAAGAAAATGTGCAACATTTTAAAATTTTGTTTACTTAACAACGAAACGTTCTCTGAAGCTAAAACACATATCATTTTATAGCTAAGGTGTTTATCTGTAGAATGGCATATCTCTCAGCTCTATTGAACATTTCTATGAAAAGCTGTGATTTTTTCAAAATATGGTACTTTTCGCTACTATTAAAATAAAATGCTTATAACTCCTGAAGGATTGAATGAGAGCACGAATGGTTTTCAGATTCGTAATCAGCATCCTTAAATTAGCAAAGTGCGGTACATTGTTTTGAAATCCCAGGGAAACACCTAGGGACCTTCCCTCGTTAGTTCTTTTAAATTTTCAACCTCAAAGGATTTTTTTTTAAACATTAAAAACACATATTCGGACTCAGCTCGGCGAGATCTATCCAACCATGTATAAATATCGCAAAAATAAATTGCGCTCAAGTTTTGAATTTTCTGCACATTAGTTTTTTAATTATTATGTTTGTTTTCAAAGTTGTGGCTGTTATATATAATTATTTACAATAATTACATTTTAAGATTGTATTCTAGTATTCTACTGTTGATAATGAAACAAAACGAATGAAAAGAATTATTGATGAGTCCGAGATGGACAGTGAGAATGAAATCAAAATAGATGATGATGCTGGTGCAATATATTTTGATCGAACAGAAAACTTAGAACAATTTGGTGTTGTATGGTTTGATACTGATATAAACATCAACAATAAAGACAGGGCAACTATTCGAATAAAATTGCGTGAGATTATTGATTATTTACAAACTTTTGACAATATAGAATTATGTGAAGAATACATTCGAAATGTTAAAACTGAAACAGTATTTTTAATTATATCGTCAAAACTTGGTGAGTATATTGTTCGCAATATACATGACCAGAGACAGTTGCATTCTATCTACATATACAATAGAAATACCAGCGAGCAACAATGGGCACAGAAGTTCTTAAAGGTAAGAGAAATAGAGGCGAGGAATGACAGCGACTATTCTGGATCCATCTCCTCAATCAAAAAGGAAAGAAATTCGTTTCCGTCCAAGCACGTAGTAGAAGTAGAATACAGGATAGTCAAAAAAAACTTACCCCTTCTGCAATGTTTTTTCTGCACCTTTAGAATTCAGTTTTCGATCCAATTCTTTTTGTGATAGAAAGAGCTGAGAAAAAGCTACTAAGCAGAACTGTTCATATTTTTGAAAAGGTTTCACCGTAAGTGGAGACTAAAAAAGATTCATTAAATCAATTGTATTCAGCAGATAAAGCTTTTAAATGGCTACAAGAATATGCATAAATCATCGATAAATTTTGGCTTTTCAATAAGAAACGAAAAAAAGTATAATGAAGAGGCATGTAACATCAATTAGCTTTCGAAAAATGTTTTAGAAAAGAAACTAAAAATGATGCAGAATTATTTTTTCCTTTAATAACATACTAGGAACTCCATAATCACAACGAACTTCAAGTCAACAGCAGTTGTCTTCCAGCGACTTCTTTTGCTTCCTGATGAAGATGTACTGTTCTAGCATAGATTTCATATCTACTGACGAGGGAACATCTCCAAGTGTGAGTCTCAGTTTTAAATGGGATATGTACCAGTTTGTAGAGCTCGACGAGCTGATTCTTCTGGTATGTTCCGTTTTTGCCCATAGACCTTAAATGAGAAAAT